CCCCAAAACCCCAAAACCCCAAAACCCCTGAACATCTAATGATGTTTGAGACTGATTCGTGATGATTAAGAAATATGGGATCATTTCTCCATTGAGAACTCCACAGGCAAGAAGCTGTTCTTATGTAGGAATGCAATAAAAGTATGGTAGATCTCTTGACATCTCTCACCTACATTCTCTGCTTTGCCTCAAGAATTTATCAACTCTCCAAAATATGGCTTGAACAAGGTACCATCTATGCTTGAAGAGTGGCCTGAGTCCTTAATCCTAATATTATACCCAATTCCACCGTTCTTCTTCATGCATGTGTTAAAGAATTTCTCTCTGATTGTCTTTTGGTCATACTCAGCTACAAAGCGTGAGTAATCAAATTTCTCTGAGTTAATCATCAACAAAGGCTGTGAGATATAGTAATCTTCATTGGCCAACATATCTTTGTATCTGGCTCTTATGTAAGCATCATTTACAGCTCAGATTTTAAAGTCATTGTGAAAGACTTTAGCCATCTCGATAGCTGTCATTCCTCCCATTGATTGACCCATGGCGGCCAGCTTGTCAAGATCTATATGCTTGAATTCTTTGATTGACTCGTTCTTAATGTAGTCAAGTATGACACCAATATCTTTGATTCGATGATTCAGGAGTTTCCTTCTGAACTCATCTTGCTCGTACTTTACCCCATTGCTATCTGTGTTTGTGACTGGATCATACATGTTGACATGCACAGTTCTGGGAGGAGTGACATTATGGTCTTTATATACAGTTGCTGAGCCATCTGTATGGTTTGGAATATATACAATGCAACCATAGCTGGCTAGAAGTACTCCAGCAGCATGATGATCAGCTCTTCTTCCACACAAACCATGGGAGAAGATCACTGGTGTTTGCTTTTTATGGCCAAGTTGAAAGTCTTTGTGAAGAGTTCCACTCTTGATTGCACGCATTTGGTATAATGCATCATCTCTAAGTGCAAGTCTTATGATTGGATTATCTGAAATACTCTCTACAATATTTCCATCAAAGAGTTGGCGAAGAATAGGAATCAGTTTTGGAACACCCTCTAGCTCGTCTTCTCCATCTAAAACATATTTTGGTGTTTTATTGGGATTTTCCACATTTTGCTGGTACTCTTGGATGTCTATCGGGTAGAATATCGTCACTGAAGGAGTTGTTTCTCCTTTTATCACAATATCTCTAAATCCAGCACCATATGGTCCAGTAGGGTTCGGCGCAAAGTAGAATGATGTGCTCACTAGCTTGTAAAGGATCAGAGCTGACACTATTGTAATTAAGAGCTTGATGAAACTCCATTCTGGGAGTAAAAGTTTGGTGATTATCACTAATACCCAATTGATTATATTGTACAATATGAAATCAAATCTGCAGCTTATATCTATCTTAGCCACTTTGGTCACAAATGCAGCTACTACTGAAAGCGCCCAGTAGCATTGAAAAAGGCTGGAGGCTGTATCTCCAGCTAGCCCAGTCAGGCCTATAATACCTAAGCAGTAAGCTGGGAATACAAAAAGGCCTTCAAATTTGTTCACAAATGTTCTTTTTTCCATATTTAATAACTTTATTTCAATACTAAATATCTCCAAGGGGTTTTGGGGTTTTGGGGTTTTGGGGTTTTGGGG